AAAGGTTGTTGAATGAAAGGAGACGGCGCTGGGATCGCCTGCCCGTCGTCATAAAGACACACACCTGCCTTCAATTCGTGTACGCCAACCGCCCGACCCATGGCCATCGGACCCAAGGCCATCGGAACCAAGGCCGTCGGAACCAAGGCCATCGGACCCAAGGCCGTCGGAACCAAGGCCATTGGAACCAAGGCCATTGGAACCAAGGCCATCAGGCCCAAGACCATTGGAACCAAGGCCATCGGACCCAAGGCCATTGGACCCAAGGCCATCAGGCCCAAGGCCATCGGAACCAAGGCCATCAGACCCAAGGCCATCAGGCCCAAGACCATCGGACCCAAGGCCATCGGAATCAAGGCCATCAGACCCAAGGCCATCGGACCCAAGGCCATCAGAACCAAGGCCATCGGGCCCAAGGCCATCGGACCTCCCGCGAAGGGCCACCCCGGTGTCCGCCCGGCACGCACCTGAGTAGAAGGCGGCGCTGAAGGCATAGATGCACATCCCCCAGCAGCCCATGGTGACGCCGCTGTTGTACCTCCGATATTCCTCCGACGTGCGCGGGGCCTTGGGGTCCCCCTGAAACACCACCTCGCCCATGAAGTCCGTGTAGAAGAGCAGCATCCCCTCAAAGGACAGCCAGCCTGGGGGGGGGGGGCGTGACTGTGACCCACGGCACAGACGTGGACAAGGCCCCTGTCGCCAACAGCGGGTTTGCCTGAGTCTCAAGGAAACGCGCGGACTCAAGACTTAAAGGAGGCACCGCCTCTCCTCACACTGAGACCTCCTTCTCTCCCGCCCTCCCTCCCTCCTGCCCTCCTGCCCTCCGATGCGGTTGTGTAGGAGCCCGCTGATTTTTTTTTAAGCAAATACATATGCGTGTACACTGGGCCGAGTTACATGAGGGTGGTATCCTGTTCTCTCTCTGAACAGTGTTGCCGTGAGGAAGGCTGAGCCCCCTCCTCCTCCCTCTACGACCAGAAAACGCCGGAGGCTCCAGCCCGGGTGCGGCAGGTGGCATTGAACCGAGAGGACACGTGAGGCCGCACGGATGTCGCTACAGACCCACCTGCTTTAGTGCCCATTAACCTGTGGTGACCCGCCCTCTGACTTCCCCGTCAACCTCCCTGTGATGCGGGAGGGGGTGGCGTATACTGGCCCTCATATTGGCCCTCTTGAGCCCTAATGACCTGGCACGCCTTCTGTGCCATTAGGATTCGGAAGGCCCGTGTGGGCGGCACCGAGTACCCAGTGTGGAGCCAGCATGTCTTCCCTCGCCCAGGCTGCAGTGCAGACCTTCCCGCTCCAGCGGTGGCCGTGAGAGATCTCGCCTCGTAAAGACCTTGTGTCTATTCTGGATGAAGCCTCTGATTACGGCCTTCAAAGACCACACAGGACGACTGGCCCAGACATACGGCACGTTACACCTTCCTGCCTCCCAGAAGGTCACTCTGACTGACACCCACAGGGGGCCTGGCTTCCTCGGACGCTCCGGCGGCCCCACCGTGTGCACCGCGGAGGACACACACACGGACTTTGCTGGAGGAACTCGAATGCCAGGCCTGTGCGCGCAAGGCCAGCCCTGGACACGTGTGGGTGTCCGTCCCTCTGGGTGTGGATGTCTGAGTATCTGTGTGTGGATGTCCATGTATCTGTGTGTCTGTGTATCTATGTGTTTGTGTGTGGATGTTTGTGTGTGTGTGGGTGTATGTTTGTGGGTGTCCGCGTGTCTGTGTGTGGATGTCTGTGTGTGGGTGTCTGTGTGTGGGTGTCGGTGTGTCTATCTGTGGGTGTTTGTGTGTGTATGTCCATGTGTTTGTGTGTGGATGTCCGTGTGTGTGTGTGTGTGTGTCTGTGTGTCTGTGTGTAGGTGCCTGTGCGGGGGTGTCCGTGTGTCTGTGTGTGGGTGTCTGTGTGTCTGTGTGTGGTGTCTGTGTGTCTGTGTGTGGGTGTCTCTGTGTGTGTGTGTATGTCCATGTGTTTGTGTGTATGTCCGTGTGTGTATGTGTGGGTGTCTGTGTGGGTGTGTCTGTGTGTAGGTGTCTGTCTCTGTGTGTGGATGTCTGTGTGTAGATGTCCATGTGTCTGTGTGTGGGTGTCTGTATGTCTGTGTGTGGGTGTCAGTGTGTCTGTGTGTGGGTGTTGGTGTGTCTGTGTGTGGGTGTTTGTGTGTGTATGTCGGTGTGTTTGTGTGTGGATGTCCGTGTGTGTGTGGATGTGTATGGAAGTCTGTGTGTGGGTGTTGGTGTGTTTGTGTATGTCGGTGTGTTTGTGTGTGGATGTGTGTGTGTGTGTGTGTGTGTGTGTGTGTGTGGATGTGTGTGTGTGGATGTGTGTGTGTGGATGTGTGTGTGTGTGTGTGTGTGTGTGTATGGATGATGTGGGTGTGGTGTGTGTGTGTAGATGTCCGTGTGTCTGTGTGTGGGTGTGTGTGGATGTCTGTGTGTCTGTGTGTGGGTCTCTGTGTATAGATGTCCGTGTGTCTGTGTGTGGGTGTGTATGGATGTCTGTGTGTGGGTGTCGGTGTGTCTGTGTGTGGGTGTTTGTGTGTGGATGTCCGTGTGTTTGTGGGTGGATGTCCATGTGTCTGTGTGTGGGTGTCGGTGTGTCTGTGTGTGGGTGTCTGTGTGTCTGTGTGTCTGTGTGTGGGTATCTGTGGGGGATGTCCGTGTGTGTGTCCGTGTGTGTGTGTAGATGTCCATTGTCTGTGTGTGGTTGTCCGTGTGTCTGTGTGTGGATGTCCATGTGTCTCTGAGTCTGTGTGTGGATGTCCGTGTGTCTGTGTGTGGATGTCCGTGTGTCTGTGTGTGGATGTCCGTGTGTCTGTGTGTGGATGTCCGTGTGTCTGTGTGTGGATGTCCGTGTGTCTGTGTGTGGATGTCCGTGTGTCTGTGTGTGGATGTCCGTGTGTCTGTGTGTGGATGTCCGTGTGTCTGTGTGTGGATGTCCGTGTGTCTGTGTGTGGATGTCCGTGTGTCTGTGTGTCGATGTCCATGTGTCTGTCCCGGCTCGAGGTGAGGCCCACCAGCCTCACAGGTGGACAGTGACATGTCACTTAACCGTGAGCCGCTTGAAGAGTCTGGGAATGAGGTTTGGGCTGCGGAAACCCAGGGTCCCTCTGGGCTGCACACCCGGGTTAGCCCGTGGCTGCCTGGGGTGGCATCTCTCTGGCTTCCCAGGGAGGAGCCCGCCGGGCAGTCCCACGCCACGTCTGCCCCGTGGTATCTGGGAGCTAAGTGAACATGGGGGTCCTGGAAGGCATCCCTGGGCCCCCACACAGCGTGACCCCCGCCGGGAAGGGACGCACAGGGGCGTGGAGGGGGCTGTGCCCCGAGCTCACCCAGGAAGTGGTTGACGCACAGGCTGCGCAGCGCCCAGGGCATGTGGCAGATGGTGGAGCAGAGGTGCCTCATGGACAGAGGCGGCCCCGCTGGCTCGCTGGGGCCCGTCAGCTCGCTCTCGTACTTCACGCCATTCAGCAAGATGTTGGCCACCTGGAGAGGGAGCCCCAAAGCCCTCCTCAGAGCCTCCAGCCGCCCGCGGAGCAGACGCCGGCGGGGCTGTGGGTGCGGCTCCCCGTGGGGTGAACGAGGAGGGGTTTCAGGTTGTCTCTTCCGAGACTTGGAGCCGCAGAGCATGGAGCTGCGTTTCGGGGGCCGCACCGGGGCCCAGGAGGCAGCACCTCCCGCAGGGAGGGCGTCAGTACCTTCCCCCAAAAGGGAAACACACGCGAAATAAACAAAGCCGGGCAGTTGCAACACAGGCTCTAGGAAGCCCCTCGCCCACTAGGGCAGTGATGGCGAACCTTTTGAGCTCGGCGTGTCAGCATTTGAAAAACCCTAACTTAACTCTGGTGCCGTGTCACATAGAGAAATTTTTTGATCTTTGCAACCATAGTAAAACAGAGACTTATATTTTTGATATTTATTTTATATATTTAAATGCTGTTTCACAAAGAAAAATCAACCAAA